TGTTTTAGGCAGGAGGAAAATGATAGCAAATGGTAGAAGAAACGAGCACAAAGAATAAGTATGTGGGTAAATATAAAAGACTTTCTTCTCAATTACAAAAAAATCTTTAAAAGACAATTTATGTGGCTGGACACCATGGCTCATGCCTGTAATCTCAGCACACTGGGAGGCCAAGGTAGATGGATCACTTGAGGCCAGGAGTTAAAGACCAGCCTGGACAACATAGAGAGACCCTATCTCTACAAAATAAAATTCCAAAAAAATTAGACAGGAGTGGTGGTGCATGCCTGTGGCGCCAGCAACTGAGGAGGCTGAGGTGGGAGGATCAATTGAGCCCAGGAGGTGCAGGCTGCAATAAGCACTGCAGTCTGAGTGATAGAGTGAGATCCTGTCTCACAAGAAGACAACTGACATTTTTAAGTAAAAATAATATAGTATGAAATTTATTATATAAAAATGAAACACATGTCAACCATAGGACACAGAAGAGTGAAACAGAAGTAATATTACTTAAAGTAGACTATAACAAGATGTCGTAGTAGATTAAATGGTGGCCTCCAAAAAGATTTGTCCACATGCTAATCCCCAGACCTTGTGAATGTTAACTTGTTTGGAAAAAAGGTTTTTGCAGATACAATTAAATTAACGATCTTGAGAGGAGATAATCCTGGATTATCTGGTGGGTCCTAAATCCCATAATGAGTGCTCTTATAAGAGACACACAGAAGAGGGACTGACAGATAAAGGAGGAAGTAGCAAAGTGACTGTGGAGGTAGATATTAAAGTGATGCACCCACAAGCACAGAGATGCTGGTAGCCACCAGAAGCTTGAAGAAGGCAAGGAACAGCTTTCCCTCTAGAGCCTCCAGAGGGAATGTGACCCTTCCAACACCTTAATTTCAGACACCTGGCCTCCAGAATTGTGGGAGAATAAATTTCTGCTGTTTTAAGCCACAAAGTTTGTGGTAATCTGTTACAGCAACCACAGGACATGAATGCAGATGTATATATGAAGTCTAGAGCAGCCACTAGGAAAAGAAAATAAAGAAATACAGCTGGTAAGCCAATAATGGAAATAAAATCACATCACTAAAAAGTCCTCAATCCAAAAGAAATAAGAAAAACATATGAAAAATGCACAGATGGGACAAATGAAAAACAAATAGCCAGATGGCATTAATAATTACATTAAATGTAAATGGACTAGAGGTACCTAGAATCATCAAATTCCCAGAGACAGAAAGTAGAATAATGGTTCCATGGTCTGAGGGAGGGGAGAATGGGGAGTTTGTATTTCCTGGGTGCAGAGTCTCAGTTTGGGTTGATGAAAAAGTTCTGGACATGGATGGAGGTGAGGTTGTACAACAGTATGAATATATTTGATGTCGCTGAATTGTACACTTAAAAATGGCTAAAATGGTTAATTTTATGTTATGTATATTTTGCCACAATAAAAAATGTAAGTGAACTAAACTCTCTAATTAAAAGTCAGAGGTTTCCAGATTGTATAAAAAGACACAATTATTTGTGTCTATAAGAAACCTACTTTAAATAGATGCAGTCTAAAAGTATAGAAAAAGATGCACCATGCTAATACTAACAGAAAGTTTGAGTGGCTATACTAATATCAGACAAAGCAGATTTCAGAGTAAAGATATCACAAGGGATAAAGGAGACATAAAAGGGCATTATAATCTAACATGAGGTATGAAACAAAAATTAATAGAATTGAAAGGGGAAATTTAAAAATGTATAGTTGCAGTTGAAGATTTTAATACTTTTAGTAATTGATAGAAGTAGTAGAGAGAAAATTCGTAAGGATATAGAAGATCTGAACAACACCAACTTGACCTAATTGACATTTATGAAACATTTTGTCCAACAACAGCAGAGCACACATTCTTTTTCAAGTGTATACAGAACATCTACCAAGATAGACCATAATCCAGTACATAAAACAAATCATAATGTATTTTAAATGATTTAAATCATACAAAGTATGTTCTCTGACCACAACAAAACCCAATGCCAAAAGATAGCTGGAAAAAAATCCCAAAATATTTGGAAATTATACATTTCCAAATAATCCATGAGTGAAAAAGGAATCACATTTGAAATTAGAAGATATTTTGAACTTCATGAAGGTGAAAACACAACATATTAGTATTTGGGGATGCAGCTAAAGCTGTGCTTAGAAAAAAATATACAGCATTAAATGTTTATATTATAGAAGAAGAACATTCTCAAATCAATGATCTTAGCTCCCCAACATTTTCAAGATGTCAGTTTTCCCCAATTTCATCTAAAGACCACAATTCCAGTCAAAATTTCAGCAGGGTTTTTTTGCAGAAAATGACAACCTGATTCTAAATTTTGTGTAGAAATTAAAAGAAGCAAAAATGCCTAGAAGAACCGAAATAATTTTTTAAATGAAGAACAAAATTGGATTTCTGTATTTTTAGTAGAGATGGGGTTTCACCATGTTACCCAGGCTGGTTTCAAGCTCCTGACCTCAGGTGATCCACCTGGATAGAGCAAGACTCCATCTTTATACTACCTGGTTTAAAAACTTACAATAAGCCTCGAGTAATCACGATACTATAGTTCTGGCATAAAAATACACATATTCACATAAAGATGTACATTGCATAGATCAATACAACAGAATAGAGAGTCAAGAAATCTACTCAAATATATATATGGCAAATTGATTTTTGATAAAGATGCCAACATGATTTGATGGGGAAAGGAAAATCTTTACATGAATAGTACTGGAACAATTAGGCATCTATATGTTTAAAAAAAAAAAAGAAAAGAAAAGAAAGGAAAGGAAATGACCTGTTACTTCAACCCATATACAAAGATTAACTCAAGATGAATCATAGACCTAAATATAAGAGCTCAAATTATAAAACTGGTTCCAGATTTTTTAAAAAAGGCAAATGATTCGAACAGACACTTTACCAAAGATACCACAGATGGCAATGTAGATGAAAAGATGGTATTATGGACTAAATGTTTATGTCCCCTCAAAATTACATGTTGAACCTCTAACCCCCAGAGTAGTGGTATTTGGAGGTAGGGCCTCTGGGAGGCGATTAGGGTCAGATGAGGTCATGAGGATAGGGCCTCATGATGGGATTCATTTTCCTATAAGAAGAGGAAGCAGGCTGGGAGCTGTGGCTCACGCCTGTAATCCCAGCACCTTGGAAGACCGAAGTGGGCAGATCACGAGGTCAGGAGATCAAGACCACCCTGGCTAACACAGTAAAAACCCGTCTCTACTACAAAAATACAAACAAACAAACAAACAAAAATAGCCAGGTGTGGTGGCATGTGCCTGTAGTCCGAGTTACTTGGGAGGCTGAGGCAGGAGAATCGCTTGAACTGGGAGGCAAAGGTTGCAGTGAGCCAAGATTGTGCCACTGCACTCCAGCCTGGACGACAGAGAGAGACTGTCTCAGAAAAAAAAGAAGAAGAAGAAGAAAGAAGTAGAAGAAGAAAGAGGAAGAAGGCAGAAGAAGAATGAAGAAGAAGGAAGGAGGAAGAGGAAGGAGGAAGGAAGGAGGAGGAAGGAAGAAGGAGGAAGGAGGAGGAAGAGGAGCAGCAGCAGCACCAGAGTGCTCTGATACTCTTATTCTCTCCTGTCTTTCTCTCACTCTCTCCTTCCACCCTTGACCTTGTGAGGACTGAGAGAAGGAAGTCACTGCATACCAGGAAGAGAGCCTCACCAGGAGCCAACGCTGCTAGCACCTTCCTCTTGAATTTGCTAGCCTTCACAACTATAAGAAATAAATCTCTATGGTATTCCGCAGCTCAAGCTGAGTAACACACATACTCAGTTCCATTAGTCATTAGGGAAATGAATTTAAAACTACAATGTGATACCACTGTACTTTCTAGAATGGCTAAAATGGAAAAGACAGACAATACCAAGTGTTGACGAGAATGTGGAGCAACTGGAACTCTCATACCTTGCTGGTGGAAATGCAAATAGTAAATTTACGTTGGAATACAGTTGACAGTTTCTCTCTCCTTCTTTCCTTCCTTCCCTTCTTTCCTTCCCTTCCTTCCCTCCATCCTTCTCTCCTTCCTTCTTCCCTCCCTCCTTCCTTTGTGCAAAGTCTTGCTCTGTTGCCCAGGCTGAAGTGACATGATTTTAGCTCACTGCAACTTTGACCTCCCAGGTTCAAGTGATTCTCCTGCCTCAGCCTCCCAAGTAGCTGGGATTACAGGTGCCACCACCATACCTGGCTAATTTTTATATTTTTCATAGAGACGGTGTTTCACCATGTTAGATGTTGGCCAGGCTGGTCTCAAACTCCTGACCTCAGGTGATCTGCCTGCCTCAGCCTCCCAAAATGCTGGGATTACAGGCATGAGCCACTGCACTCCACCTAGTTGGCAGTTTCTTATAAAGTAAAACATACACTAATATAATTAATAATGACCCAGCCACATTAGTTTTAGATACTTACACAGGAAAAATGAAAACTTAGGCCCACGCCAAGACTTGAACATGAATACCAATTCCACTCATAAAAACCAAACCCAAAAAGAATCCCAAAGGGCCATCAACTGGCAAATGCATACACAAACTGCGGTGCACCCATATAGTAATGCTGCACTAAAGGCATGGATTGTTGATACAAGAAACAGCGGTCCCCAGGACCCTGGCAAGTTCCCAGAATCCCTCCCAGATATACTCTTTTTTTTCTTCTTTTTTAGACAGAGTCTTGCTCTGTTGCCAAGGCTGGAGTGCAGTGGTACAGTCTTGGCTCACTACAACCTCTGCCTCCCAGGTTCAAGCGATTCTCCTGCCTCAGTCTCCCGAGTAGCTGGGATTGCAGGTGCCCACCACCACACCCAGCTAGTTTTTGTATTTTTAGTAGAAACGGGATTTCACCATGTTGGCCAGGCTGGTCTCGAACTCCTGACCTCGTGATCTGCCCACCTCAGCCTCCTAAAGTGCTGGGATTACAGGCATGAGCCACCGCATCTGGCCAGCAATACTTTTATTAAAACAAACTGAGCAAGGCCAGGCAGCTCAAAATGATCCACACGAGGGGGTTCAAAGATAATCCGACAATGGAGACAGGAGATGGGGTGGGAGGGAAGCGGGTCACAAATGCACAGAGAACAGTGGGACTGTGGGAGGACCCCTGCGGCCTCGGGCCCTCCAGCTGGGCTGGCAGGCAGGCTGTGGGCTCTGGGGGTGATGAGGGTCAATTCGGGGCTCCCTGGGGCGTTGCACCCCTGTGTGCATTCTGCCTGTGTTTGCAGAACAGCCCGTACAGCACCCGCAGCGTGCTCTTGGCGTCCTTGTTCACAATGTCTGCAGGCCAGAGGAGGGCAGGGCAGCTGGTCAGGCCTGGGTGGCGGTGACCCACCGTCCCAGAGTGCCCCGCACTGAGGGGTTTCCTGGCATTCAGGATTTCAGTGCGAACACCAGGAGAATCCCTGGAAGCCAGGACAGCTGGTCACTCCAGGCCTGAGTCCAGAGCCCGCTGCATGACCTGCCACCTCCTCCTGGCCAGTCCTCCCCTGAGCCCTCCTGGGGTGCCCCCAACACAGCAACTCCTCAAGGTCTGGCTTCTCTGGACAGCCTGTCCCCAGAGACCTTGGTCTCCCCTCCCCGGGACCTCCCCCCTGGTGCTGCAGTGCCCCCACCCAGGAAACCTTGGCAAGTGCCCATTCTCCACACCGGTCAGGCAAGAAGACTGCCAGTGCACGCTCATCCCTCAATGCCCTGCACCCTGTTCTATGTCTCCCGCACAAGGCTGCCACACGGGGCTGACCACTGTGTGGGCATCTGCCATGCACTCACCTTCAGGGCTGACAGGGCAGCTAAGCAGACCCTCCTCCTTCAGCAGCTCCAGCGCTAGGGTGACGTTGTGCAGCTGTGGTGACAAGTCCCCATCAGATGTGGGCACAAGAATCATCCCCAGCCCAGGCCCTGGGTCCCAAGTGCCAAGTCTTTCCTGTTGTCTGTGATGTCCGTCACGAGCCCAAACTCCCATCCAAGGTGGGTATCCCTGACCGCAACCACAATCCATGCTCATCCAGCATCTCCCTACAGCCCCCACGGATGGGGAGCTCTCTCCGTCACACAAGACATGCACGCCTCATTCCTCAGCCACTCACAGGCCCCACTCTGAGCAGGTGCTATACCGCACTGGGCACACACGTGCCCAGGGGCCACAGTCAGTAAAAAAGGCAATCACCAAGGATGATACCCAGTAGGAATCAAGGAAGGCTTCCTGGTGGAGGTGACACCCAGTGGTGCATCCTACCAGGCAAGGAGAGCTACCCAGGGAAAGGAGCAAGGGCCCAGGGGTGGCAAAGCCCCTTTGAGAATAGCCATTTCCCAGGGCAAAGCACAGTGAGGAAACTGAGGCTCAGAGGAGTGAAGGGGCTGACTGAAGCTCATGAGACACAAAGTGCTGGAACCAGGTCTGTCCACTCCAACGCCCATGCAAAGCAGGCTAGAGACTTGAGCGGCCCCCACCCGGGTGGCTGTCCTTCCATCCATCCCTTGCCTGGGCTGCAGTCTCAGACACAGCTCCCTTTAGGGTGGAGGGCTTCCGGGCATCTGTCAGGTCCCTGAGGGGTTCAGAGCCCAGCACAGTCCCCGCCCGGGGCCTCCCCTTGCTCACCTGCAAAGTGGGCTACCATGGTTCCCATGTGCCTTGCTACAGGATGCAGTGAGACGCCAGGAGCCCTGCCGGCCCTCCTGCAGTGGGTCCCTTTCCATTCTAGCTTCTCCCCTGGGCCTCAGGTACAACCACAGTAGACCCCAGCCCTTTGCCTGACAGCAGCAGCCTGGTGTGGGTGAAGAGGGACGAGCTCCTGGCTCACTGTGTGACTTCAAACAGGTCCTCTCTTCAACGCCTTAGCCACCCGTAGATGCACAGCAGGCCTGGACATCCCAGTCCAGGGGTCAGCCATGCCTGGTCCCGTTCCCTCCGTATCTGCCTGACCATGCCAGCCCCACTCAGCCGGGGCAGTTCCCATGGCAACCCAGCTAGGGGCCAAAAGGCCAGGTTGGCTGAGCGTTGGGTAAGCAAGGCCAGGCAAGACTCATTAGGAAATGCCAGCCCGGCCCAGGCCACCTCCAGCCACCTTGTAGACGGCCGCAGCAACAGGACTCTTGGGATCTAGCGTGGCTGTCTGTGTACCGCCACCCCCATCCCACCACTAAGTGTCTGGCCTCGGACAAGTCACACATCCTGGCTGGGCCTCGGCTCCCTCATCTGTGTCATGGGGATGATGCCTCTGTCAGCCTCCCTCTCCAAGGCTGGCATGTGTGTCCAATGTGATGACAAGCACTGAATTGAAGCCTCAAAGCAAGATTTGAAGGTGAAGATGATGAAGGCACAGGAGCTGGACGTGGGTGAGCAGAGTCCTTCTCCACGTGGGGATACGAAGATGGAAGGCAGGTCCCAGACAGAAAGGAGCGTATGGGCGGGGCACCCAGCAACAGCAGGGCCGCTCCTCTATAGTCAGTCGGTCACAAGAGGAAACAGGCGAGGCACGGTAGCTCACACCTGTCATCCCAGCACTTTGGGTGGCCAAAGTGGGCAGATCACTTGAGGTCAGGAGTTCGAGACCAGCTTGGCCAACATGGTGAAACCTCATCTCTACTAAAAATACAAAAATTGGCCAGGCATGGTGACATGTGTCTCTAATCCCAGCTACCTGGAAGGCTGAGGCAAGAAAATCGCTGGAACCTGGGAAGCGGAGGTTGCAGTAAGCCGAGATCGCACCACTGCACTCCAGCCTGGGCGACAAGAGTGAAACTCAATCTCAAAAAAAAAAAGAGAGCTGAAGAAACAAAGGCTATCATACAGTGCCCATGCTGCAGGCACCAGTGCCACTGAGAGTTCCCGTCACTGTGTCCCCAGTTCCTCCCCCTACACTGGAATATTCTGGAAAACTAGGGTTGCAGTTGTTGCTGTTGACGTTCTCGTCATGAGTATTATTTGCAGTTACACTGAGTGAATGTCAGAGAACAAGATCCCGAGGACCCTGAGGTTCTGCACTCCACACTGTGCTCTCCTGCCTCAAAGCCCCGCCTTTGATAGACTCAGTCAGCCGGCATCTCCCAACGTGTGATCTAGGATGGACAGCAAAGGGAATATCTGTGGCCAAACATTTTTGGAAACTGTTGGGTTAAATAAACTAACATGGAATTCCTTAGCTGCAGGACTTATCAGAGCCTTGAACGTGTTAGTGGGTCTTACAAAGCTTCAAGAATAGGCATGTTATTTATTCATAGAACCCATGTGTCGCAGTGTTTTGGAAACACTGTTCATTTACTTATCTAAAAAATATTTGTCATCTACTATGTGCTGGCCATGCAGGTGGTGCTCAGGACAGACCAGACCCCTGCCCTCATGGAGTTTACACTTTGGGAGTTGCCATCAACACTGAAAGCTATGACATCGGCTTCCGTTTGTCACACTCTTCCTCAATGACACTCACTGTGAACAAAAGATCCTCTCCCAGAAGAGCTGACCCTGGCTCCAGAGCTATCTCACCATGTTCTGCCCAAAGAATTTTCTTCTGTGTGCAATTTGAGATGATGAAGATAAAACTATGCTCTTCCCTGGAGCCAAGGGAAGGTTGCAACCCTGGAGGATGAATTCAAATGCTCCTGGGGAAAAGTAACGGAATACAGAAGGACGCCAAGTATTCCTGGCTCCAGGGATTTGATTTCTGGAAGCAAAGGATCCCCTCTCTCCCGCCATCCCTAACTTCTCTGCCCAGAATGAATGACTATATCCCATAAACACCATCGGCAAAGAAGGTCGGATAATGAGAAATCCAATTTCAAGAGGCCACTCTGCCAAGGTGAGGATCCCGCAGGTGGCCCACCTTCCACACGGGCTGCTATGCCCGCCCTCCTCAGCTAACGACCTCTTCAGCATTCTGAGTCCACATTCCTGCGGCAGAGATTGCCCACAATACGCTGTAAAAATTCATTCACGAGGCTGCTGCTCTCCCACATCTAATCTGACGCATATTCAGAAGCAGGTTCTAAAATCAGTGGATTCAGCAAAGCGGCTGCACACGGCGACATGGAAGTCTGCATGTTTGTTCCCGGCTTGTAACTGGGGCTTAGACAGAGGCCTTGCAGGCGCGGGCACACCAGGGCGGCTCTGAGCTGGGTTCTGAGCGCCAGGCCCTCAGCCCGCAGGTGGTCCTGCCTGCCCCTCCCTCACCGCACACACCTCAGTGCCTTGCCTTCCCAAGCCAGGCTCTGACCCCACTCTCAGCCTTGGCTTCAACCCCCTGAGCCCTGGCACCCGTTCCTCTCCCAAGGGGCTCGGGCTGGCTCCACAGGAGGGCAACAGGGAGGACCCTAACTCGCTGTGTGCTCTGGGCCAGACATCCGTGCCTCTCTCAACTGTTTTCTCTGTGGAAATAAGGATGGGAAGAGTTCCTAACTCCAAGACCCAACGCGAGGATTTCCTAGCACGTTCGTCCATGCTGCCTGCAGGTGATCCCCCCCACCGGCCCAATTCTGCACCCACATGCTTTGCTGGGCAGACCCGCGTCACCACCAAGGCCACAGGGCCTGCTCCAAAGTGGCGGCCCGCCCATTCCACGCAAGGGCCTCCTGCCTCCTGCCTGGTCTCTCGTGTGTCTGCCATTGCCAGGAGGAAAGTATGCCCAGGTCAGTCGCTGGTCCCAGGAGGAGCGTGGCAGGCTGTGTGTGGCACAGAGCCGAGCCACCCAGCCACGGCAGCTCCCCATCCAGTCCACGGAGGAGTGACAAAGCCCAGCTGAGCCTCCGGCAGCTAAACTCAGCTGACTTGCTGGTCCGTGGGAAGAAATGAGCATGGTTTTCAGCCCCTGGGTTTTTGGGCGGTCTGTTAGGCAGCACGTTTGTGGCAACGGCTGGCTGATGTGGCACCTCCGAATGGAAGAACCTAAGCAGCTGCCACTGTGCCTGCCACGACCACCGGGACAGTAGACGCTGGCTGCTACGGCCCCATTGCTCTGACCCAACATCCCAGCTCTTGGGAACCAAGTCAGAGCACCCCCGCCTCCAGGAAAGGTGGACGCCACACCACTCAAGACGCATTCCTGTGGGGTGGAGGGACATGGCAGGCTGTGGGCGGCAGGCCCGTCCTGGTGTGAGGCTGCCACTGAGCAGCAAGGTGGTCCTGGTTAAGCCTCTCCGCCCTGGGCTCCCCTCTGTAAAATGGAGATGCAACCCTGCCCCGCCCTCGCAGGGGCATGGAGGGAGGGTGACGGGGGAGAGGGCCAGAGACGCAATGTGCAGGGAGCTAACCCCAAAGGAGTGTGGACCGTGGTTCAGGGCCCCACAGAGCGCCGGGGGACTGCAGAGGAGCTGAGAAGGTGGGCAGAGCTGGCCGCCCGCCCAGGAAAAAAGGTGGGAAGCAAAGCCGGGGTAGGCAGGGCTGAGAGCACCGCCTGGGTGGATGCGAGGGAATGGGGGAGGGCCAGGCCCTGGGGAGCTGGAAGCGGGGCCAGGGGTCACGTGGCTGTGGCACACGGCTGTGGCTGGGAGTCGGCAGGATGGGAGGAGGGGACATGGCCGGGGAGGTAGATGGGGCTTGGCAGGTGGGTGCTACACTTGAAGCAGGGAAGAGGCCCGGGGCAGGAGTGCAGGAGGGGCCAAGGGGAGGGGCCTGGGAGAAGGGACCAGGTAGAGGGGGAGTCTGGTAGGGGCCCAGCGGGGACCTCACCTGCTACTGGGCCCCAGATAGGCCAAGAGGCCTGATCCAGTGCCAGGACGCCCTGGGCATGTGAAAGAGACAAAAAAAAAAAAAAAAAAAAAAAGCCTGTGTCTCCGTCGAAGTGGCCCCAAAGGCTGGCCCCGGGCATGCAGCCCTGCCTAATGTTTTACCTCTTTAGAAAAAGCTACTGCTACAGAGAGATAAAGAGATTCTCCCGTCCTGGGCCACCAGCTTGGACAGAGACAAGCTGGCCGCCCGGGATCCTGGGCACGCCACCAGCCACCAGCCCGCCAGCCTGTCCATTGGAGGCACGGATGGAGGCTGCACACCTCCAACGCCACCTCCTGGAGGGGGCAAGGCTGGGGGCACTAGGGACCACACGTCCCTCAATGCTTCCTCCTTGATGGTTCTCCAAACTTTTTCTTACTACCTGTGTGTCCTGGGTGGGGGGCAGGGATTGTCAGCCCGTTTCAGAGACAGAAAACCTGAGGCCCAGGCAGGCAGGAGCTGGTGGTGGAGAGCGTAAGACCCAGGTCTCTCGCCTCGCAGTGACCCAGGGTAAGCCTCGGCCCCCGACCATGGACCTCTGTTTCCTTACTTGGAAAATAGTGCAAATCCCTTCTCATGGGCCAGGTCTACCAGAGGGAGGGCATTCCTGGCAGGGGAGGAGCCTGTGCCAACACCCAGAGGTCGGAGAGCCCAGTGAGCTGAAGGAAGTGGTGGGGGTAGAGGCAGGGCCAGCCAGCGGGCACTGAAGGCTGCAGCTGGGGACGAGGTGGTGGGAGCTGCGAGTTTGCAAGCTCGCCTGCCCTGCCACCTTACCTCAATGTCCCTCAGCTTCATCACTCTCTCCAGCCCTCTTCCCCAAGTCAGGCCTCAGCCCTGGTGCCTGCATGCAGGCAGCCAGCTCCTAGCCACCCCACCAGCCTCCAGGGTCCATATGGGAACTCCTGATCCCCCCAGCTCAGGCCCCACCCTTCCAGCTCCTGCAGCTGGAGGGAAGCACCGACACTTCGCTGACCCATCCCTGTTCATGCCCCACTCTGACGCTTTGCTGATGCTGTTCCCTCCCCTTTGGGAGCCCTTCCTCAATAACTCTGCAAACCAATCCCTAATCAGCCTCCCGGCCCACCTCTGAGCCAATGCCCTTCTGGACTCCTTGAGATTATACTAAGCTCTCATTCTTCCAGTCCCCTCCTCTGACCCATGCATCTGAACCAACACATTTCGATGTGGTCCTGCAAGAGCACACATCACTGGGAGAACAGTGGGCATAGACGGAGAGGTCCCTGAAAGCAGGAGCTGTGTTGGATCATCTTAATGTCCTATGCAGCTCAGGTCTGGCACTAAGCAGGCACTCAGGGAATGAGGGAACAGGTGTGTGGGTAGGAGATGGGTAGATGAGCAGGTGGGTGGATGGGCAGGCAGGTGTATGGATAGATTGCGTGCATAAATCAACAGGATGGGAAGATGGATTGGAAGACAGCCAAATGGATGTATGAATGGAGAAGCAGGTGAATGGACAGGTAGGCAAGTGGATGGATGAATGGATGGATGGCCAGAAAGACATATAGATAAACAAGCTTCCTGTGCGTGGGTAGACAGGCAGGCAGGTAGATGGACAGGTGGGTGGGTGGGTGGGTGGATGGATGGATGGATGGATGGATGGATGGATGGATAAATGGATAGGTGGATGGGTGGATGGATGGGTGGGTGGGTGGATGGATGGATGGATGGATGGATGGATGGATGGACGGATGGATGGATGGATA